GGATAAGTGTCAGTCCATCCCCGCCTTCATTCCCGTGCGGGTTTATACGGGTATCCCTTATACGTCCACTATCTAATACGTATGGTCCATCCCGGGTCCAAACAGAGCTGGTTTAAACGAATATTCATTTCTCCTCGGTCTACTGTCATCCCTACTCTTAACTTTTCCTTGCTAACCGAATATAATATTCTATCCCCCTCGCATTTTTTATTTTTCTATTATACCAAACCGATCGATCATTAGTCTTCAAGAAAAGACTAGCTCAAAGTCACTGCTCATACAATGTTCCAACGACCAGGCTAGGCTATTGATTTACATCCAAACGGCCGTCACCTACATAAAGTCTTTCGATTAGTCATTTGTTCTTTCAACTCTATATATATATTTTTTGTCTTCGGGGAAATTGATGTAAGTTTCCGGATAAAATAAGGAAGATAATAAGCATTAAAGGTTAATTAGTTCCTATTTTTCTCGCAAGTGCATAGGTAAGACCCATGTAAACGTTTATAAAAGTGAGAATCCAAGTGAACATACAAGGTAGGCAAAATTATGCCTTTTATCAAGTGTTTATAACATCAATACCATCTATATATCTATATAATAAAATACATAGGAAACTACAGACCTGTTTGGTTTGAATTTTGAAAACATTTTTTTTATCTCAAATTTCTAAAAAACAAGAGAAACTTGTTTGATTTTGGTTTTTGTTTTCCAAATTTTGGGAAAAGATGGATGTAAAAAACAAAAAATAGAAAACAAGCTAGACTTGTTTTTTGTGTTTTGCAGATAAACGAAGGGAGACACAAGAACATCCCAATTCTTCATTAATGAGGTCTCTCCTTCAAACCTTCTTAGCTACAAAACATATCTAACTATAAGAAAGTTTTTTCTATTGCCTTTCTTTGTTTTTTTTTGGGGCTTTCTCTCTCTCTCTTTCTCTCTCCACACTCCGGTGAAAACCAAACGAAAAGAAACAACACGCACATCTGGGTTCAGATATGAGTTTGATTCGGTGTCGGCTTCAACGTCGATTCCAGTGTCATCTCCTCTCTCTCTCTGTGCAACAAATTTATATAGATCTGTGTTCAGATCTGTATATATACACAGATCTGTGTGTGTCTATATATATATATGTGTGTGTGTGTGTGTGTATTGTGTGATGTATGTGTGTGTGATGACTGTATGTGTGTATGTTTGTACTGTGTGAGAAGATAATGGAGAAAGAGAGAGAAAGCTGCAAATGGAGAGAGGAGAAAGAGAACTGCTCTGTGAGAAGATGATGGAGATAGGAGAGAGAGGGGGAGAGAAGGTTCCANAAATGGAGAGAGGAGAAAGAGAGCTGCTCTGTGAGAAGATGATGGAGATAGGAGAGAGAGGGGGAGAGAAGGTTCCAGAAGACATGATGTCTGACTGGAGAGAAAGGATTTGTGGTGATAATTTTTTTTTAGATAAAAAATGATAAATTAAAAATTAATTTTACGAATCATTATCCAAATAGGGGGGCGGAGAGGGCGGGACGGGGCGGGAGTAAGTGTCAGTCCATCCCCGCTTTCATTTCCGTGTGGGTTTATACGAGTATCCCTATATACGTTTATCGTCTAATACGTATGATCCATTTCTAATCCAAACGAACGAATTTGAATAAATATCTATTTTTTTTTGATTCATTGTCATCCTTACTCTCAACTTTTCCTTGCTAACCGAATTTAATATTTTATCCCCCTCACATTTTTTATTTTTCTATTTTACCAAACCGATCGATCATTAGTCTTCAAGAAAAGACTAGCTCAAAGTCACTGCTCATACAATGTTAAAACACGCAATCCACCGCAGACGTTCCAACGACCAGGCTAGGCTATTGATTTGCATCCAAATGGCCGTCACCTGCATAAAGTGTTTCGATCTGTCATTAGGCTATTGATTTGCATCCAAATGGCCGTCACCTACATCAAATCTTTCGATCAGTCATTTGTTCTTTCAACTATATATATATATATATTAATCATAATCCGTGCATGAAGTCACGATAAAATATAAAATTTGAACGTCCAAAAAATCGATCTCATTATATTAAATTTTTTTAAAATATATTAACTACAAATTAATCAAATATTAAATGATTAAATATATGATAAAACTGAGTGATGCGATATTTTTAGGGAATAAATATATAAATATTAAATATATGATAAAAATAAGTAATGCGATTTGACGTTTAAGTCTGACAAAGGAATGATGAGTGAGGTAAGTGATTGATGATGATTTTGAGAGGAAAAATATGACTAAAATAAAATTTAAACATACTTCTGTTTTATTATATATATATATATATATATATATTTATTTATTTATTCTCTTCGTCATATAACTAACTTTTGACTAAAATTATGATAATTCAAAAACAAAATTATGTAATTTGGGTAGTTATTTAACTAAAATTTGAGTAAAAATTTGGTTAAGAGTTATCCATATTATTTTTTTGTCCATATTTAAATATCACATGACAAGTTTATGCTACAAAGTTATTAGAAATTTGAACGCTGTCTACTTGAATGACCATATCCATATAGAAACATATTCAATACTTCATTATACAAAGTTTGTGTATGTTTGTACTGTGTAAGAAGATAATGGAGAAAGAGAGAGAAAGCTACTAATGGAGAGAGGAGAGAGAGAACTGCTGTGTGAGAAGATGATGGAGATAAGAGAGAGAGGGGGATAGAAGGCTCCAGAAGACGTGATGTCTAACTGGAGAGAAAGGATTTGTGGTGATAATTTTTTTTTTAGATAAAAAATAATAAATTAAAAATTGATTTTACGGATTATTATCCAAAGAGTAATGTTAAATGGATTTAAAAATTAGATTTGATAATCTCAACTATTGAATAGGCAATGAGTTCTAATAAATGCTGAGACCTACAGTAAAATCAATGGTTGAGATTATCAAGTCTAATTTTTAAGTCTACTTTTTAAGTACATGTAACATTGCTCTTATTCAAATAGGGGACCGAGGAGGGCGAGACGTGGCTGGAGTAAGTGTCAGTCCATCCCCACCTTCATTTCCGTGCAAGTTTATACGAATATTTATATATACGTTTATCATCTAATACGTATGATCCATATCCAGTTCAAACGAACAGATTTGAACGAATATTATTTTTTTTTCATTCATTGCCATCCCCACTCTCAACTTTTCCTTGCTAACCGAATTTAATATTTATACCCCTCACAATTTTTTATTTTTCTATTTTACCAAACCGATCGATCATTAGTCTTCAAGAAAAGACTAGCTCAAAGTCACTGCTCATACAATGTTAAAACACGCAATCCACTGCGGACGTTCCAACGACCAGGCTAGGCTATTGATTTGCATCCAAATGGCCGTCACCTGCATAAAGTGTTTCGATCAGTCATTAGGCTATTGATTTGCATCCAAATGGCCGTCCCTACATAAAGTCTTTCGATCAGTCATTTGTTCTTTCAACTATATATATTTATTTTTTTATTGTGTTCGTCGTATAAGTAACTTTTGACTAAAATTATAATAATTCATAAACAAAATTATATAATTTGGATAGTTATTTAACCAAAATTTGAGTAAAAATTTGGTCAAAAGTACTCTATATTATTTTTTTATCTATATTTAAATATCACATGATAAGTTTATGATACAAAATTATTAGAAATCTGAATGCTGTCTACTTGAATGACCATATTCATATAGAAACATATTCAATACTTCAAGGACTAAAATGATGCAATTGAAATATTAAGGACAAAAATAAGACAAATATCATTCTTTGAGGACCTCCTACACAATTAACCCTAAATTCTTATTCTTACCCAAAAAAAAGTAAAGTAAAAGACTTCTAAGAGCAACTCTAACCAACTCAACAAAGGACATCTTTTAGCTATTTTGTTGAGCCAATTCAAAAAATTTGGCTCCAACCGACTCTCTATTTCATTTGCTAATCTGCCTCCCCCTATTCTCACTAATCAGTTCTGGCTAACAAGACTCTCTCTCTCTCATCAGAGCTCTCTCCTCCCAATTTTGGGTCGTCTTCATCAAAGTTTTGCTCCAATTTTGGGGTTCTCGTATTCATCAGAGCTCTCACTCGTCTCTCTCAGAGTCTCCCTGCACTCTCAGACTCTCTTCGTCGGTGGAGCGTCCCTTTTTCTCAACCTCACTTTCTTTCCTCCTCTTCTTCCTGTCTCTTACTTTACTCTTCCTCTTCCCATCTCTACCTCCAAATTCCCCTAAAATCCCTCATGCAACATCCAAACCTCCAGATTCCTCTGTGAACAACTTGATTTCTCAAAAAGAGATGGATCTTCTCAGTTCAACAGACTTCCATTAAGAGTTGTGATTTTTGATTTGTTGGGTTTCGTGGTTTACTTGATGGGTCTTGCCTGATTGGATTAATTTGTAATTTTTGTATTGTTGATCAGAATGGGGGAAGACGATGAATTGATAAAAATCTAGCAAATTTCCCCCTCAAAATCCAGTAAAATTTCTCCAAAAATTCAGTAAAATCCCCCAAAAAAAATTCAAAAATTCAGCAAAACTCCCCAAGTATTTTATGATATTTACTCTTGTAACATATCTTTAATGATATTTATTCTTGTAGCCCATAATTGATTAAATTTATACAATGTATAATTGAATTGTTATTTTTTGAATTTTATTATTGAAAGTTAGTTATAGTTAGTTAAAATAAAGAGCGTGGTTGGAGTGAATTTTAAAAAGTGGATAGCTACAGTAGATAATACAATATTTAAAAATATTTTGAGTAGTTATTTTATTGAGCGTGGTTGGAATACTTTAATTATTTATAAAACTGCAAATTAAAGTGACCATAAAGGTAGACGAATTGATTAATAAAACTAAGAATCAGGTGATCACACAAGGTAATCGAAGTCATCAAACTTGACATTTTCCTTCTTTCAGGTGCTTATAACAGCATCTCTATCACCTTCTTGCTCTAAACTATTGCACCACAATGCTACTTCATGCTTTCATTTCTTCTCTCTTCTTTTATCCCCACATAGCATTCTCTACCAGTGACCTTCGCTTTCAGAATTGCGGTTCTACCAATAACTACACAACGAATTCGATCTTCTCCACCAACCTCTTCCAAGCACTCGACAATCTCAGTAAGTACACCGCCTTAACCGGTTATAATGCCACCACCACAGGCAACTTAACTGGAGAATCAGTGACTGCGCTCGCTCTTTGTCGCGGTGGCTTAGCCCCATCAGGCTGCCAAAACTGTATCACCGATGCCTTGTCGGGTATTCAAGCTGCATGTCCAAATCAAACAGCAGCCCAAGTTTGGTTTGACAACTGCACTATCAGGTATTCTGGCAAGAAATTCCTAAACAAGGTAGATGATTCGGTCATCGTCAATTTCGGTGACTGGCGCCTCGGTCCTGATCCAGATTCTTTTAAAGAAAGTGCCCTATTATTAGTCCAAACTCTATCATCACAAGCTGCTGTAGCAGAGAAGAAATATTCAGTGGGGAGAACCAATATAACACACAACTTGATGCTTTATGGCTATGTTGATTGCACTCGTGATCTTGACAACACAGGTTGCACAAAATGTGTTCTGACCGCAATAGACGCGATAAAGTTAAGTTGTTTGTCAAAATGGTTTTGTTGGATCTTGACTCCCAGCTGTAATGTCCAATTCAATGTGGATCCAGTGCACCAGGACTGGCCTAATGCCCCGTTTGTCAGCAGTTTTATGTTAATGGCGCCACCACCTGCAACCCTAACAGTTAATAGTACTCGAGGTGGTAGAGGCAAGGGATTGAAGATCAAAGTTTCCGTTGGGGTGGTTACGACAGTTATTCTGGCGGTTGGGATTCTTGTTATGAAGGCAAGGAAGAGAGGGATGAGAATGGACCCCAAAAGCCGTGGCAATGAAATTGAAGAAGCTGAGGAGTTGATGAAGAGAGGAGGAGTAGGGATGAGAAAGTTTATGTATGATTTACATCAGCTGGTTGTTGCAACCGATAATTTTTCTACATCTAATCGGCTGGGTAGGGGAGGATTTGGTATCGTTTACAAGGTAATTTTGATCTTTTTTTTGCCTGACACAATTTAATTTATTATGTTGATGATTGAAAACATCAAATTTTGATTCCCCGGAAATGACGAAGGACAAAATTTCAATTTGGGTTAAACCCAAATATACATTTTATTTTTGCAATTTATGTTCACAATAGGATTTGAAGCTTCAATTGGATATCAACATAGAATCATTTGGTAACCTTAAAATATATATATATATATATATATTTATTTATTTATTTTTACTTTTAAAATAGGTTTTCCTCGTATTGTTTTTGTTAATGTTTGCTCCATTCCTCTCGGTATTATGGCATGAGTAGGTCTACATCTAGGAGTGACAAGTTTACCTATTAACACAAATCTGATACGACACAAAACTCGAAAATGACACGATTAATAAATAATTTAAATTAATGTTAGACACGAATAACATGATTAATGAGTATTGTAGATAAAAAATAAGTATTTAACGAGTACTATAGAAAAAAGTAAATATTTATATTTTTTAAAAATAATATTATATGTGTTGTTGCAGGTTTNGAGTATTGTAGATAAAAAATAAGTATTTAACGAGTACTATAGAAAAAAGTAAATATTTATATTTTTTAAAAATAATATTATATGTGTTGTTGCAGGTTTAAATAATTTTTTATTAACAGAAATAATAGGTATTTAACTAGTACTGTAGAAAAAAATAAATATTTTATAATTTTTTAAAATACAGATTTAAATAATTTTTTATTAACACAAATATTGACATTAATATGACACGTACTGAAANTTCTCCTTAGATCTAGCCCTCTGTAGCTAGAAATTTGAAATCAATATTTGTTAGCTTTTGTTTTGTCATTCTTCACAGTTAGGGAAAAGAATGGCATATTTGTTGCATGTTCAATTTTCAAAATTAACTTTTTGTTGGCTTGCATTCCATCCTCAGGCTTTCCTTTTCTTTTTTTTTAAGAAATTTTCATAGGTTAATTTCTAACATCAAGTAATAAATTGTGAGAGTTCTATGAGTAAATTTTGTTCATTCACATAATGTATAATACTGGCTGAGAAAGAAAAGTGTAGTAACACACCCCACTTTGTACTATTTTTTAGAAGATTTTTATCAAAGAGTCAATTCAAATTATATATATATATATATATATTGTTCTGGAAGTCTAGGCACTCAGAATAAATCAGTCCCCTCAAAACAAATCAGTCATTAAGTTCAAATTGATTTTATACAAATTATTTAATAATAAAAGTACCCTCAAATGAGATCACAATCACTAGTTATCTCTTTTTTGTTTCTATCGGTGATTCCTCGTGATAATACTGATGTGATATTACTAACCAATAAAGTTAAAACAAATAAACAAATGGATCTCACTAAAATTAATAATCAATCCTCCGTGTAAACAAATAATCACTCCTCCATTCTCTATGTAAGTAAATAACTATTAAATTGGGATTCGCCTCGACCACTTTAGTGTTTTATTATTTATTGGTGATACATGGTATCGCCATTGCATTTAATATTATGTCTTTCTTCCCTATTTCGTATGGATCTCTCTTTTCCCTCTTTCTCTTCCTGTGCGTCTCTCTCTCTTTTATCTCCATGCATCTCCACCATCCAAGACTGTCAGGTCCTTAGAATTNAATTTTAGCACCAGCCTTAAGCGCCTTCAATCTCTAAATCAATCAATTTTTTCGAGGAATTTCTCATTTCTCTCGGTGTTAGCTCATCCAGAGTCAATCGTCGAAATTTGTCAACCTTCCAATCTCCTCAACAACCTCAAGGATAAGCATTTCAACGTTCGCTCATAACGACAAACTTGGCCACACCTTACATCCCCGGAAGAAGATGTCATTTTTTTGATGAGAAATAAAGAGGAATACTGAAAATTCGAATGCCTGAAGCTGAATACTTTCGATATAACAAAAAGAAAAAAGATCGAAAAGAGGATTCCTTACTTCTTTCTCTCATGCAAACTTGTGCAAGGAAGAGAACGACCCTTGTGATCAAGATTTAGAAGAAGAACATTTATGTGAATAGAAAACATAATAATAAAATTTTCTTGAAGGTACTCACTAAAAGATTGACCTCAGGGTCGCCAGCTTTATACTATTCTGTGAATTTTTGATGGGCAGTTTTGGGGCGGTGACGACCACGAGCATCATGCTCCTAAGTTTATAATGTCCAGCAAAGACGAGGTAATTTACATCACCTATTTATAGACTTCTTAATAGTTTTTCATAAAAGGTGTAACAATTTGAAATGATGTTTTTTGGTTTAAAAGGTATGACGCTGATTTTATGAAAAGATACAACAATTTGAAATAATGTTTTTAAGTCCAAAAGATATTAAATGTGACTTTATGAAAAAGTGTAACAATTTATAACGATGTCTTTAACCAAAATGTATTAATAGTTATTTTATGAAAGATTGTCACTATTTGCATCAGTGCTTTTTAGCCAAAAGTCATTAACTTTAAATTGGTAGCTTTCTCGTCATTCACACTTCACACATTTTATATTTCTCCCAAAAGTCACAAAGAAATTTTCAAAAATAAACTCACCCAAAAAGACTTTTATTTTAAAAATATTTTTACATTATGTACATTTTAACGCACATAAGTAATTTTTCTTTCATTGTATATTCCACCCACTTTCGAAGAGATCGATTTTGATGAGTTAGAAGAAAGACTAATAATCTCTCAATTAGGGATGACAGTGGACCGAAGCGGGGGCAGGGGGTGTAGTCTCTATCCTCGTACCAGCTTAAAAAAATTTTGTTCATCCCCGTTCCACCTCCATTAACGGGTATAATTTTTATCTCCATCTCAATTCGCAGGTAAATTAGTAATCCCCACCTCCGCCCCGTCCCCGTCTTTACTCCCCACCCAAGCCCAAGCCTAACATAATCCAACATTGTAAGTAATCCAAAAAATAAAAAAATTGCATATCACAAATTGAAAATTACCACATAATTTTTCTTATCAATAAGGACTAGCATTTGATATACTGAGTAGATAAGAAGTCTATCCAACACATTTTAAGCAAAAAAGTCTATCCAATAATTTTCAAAGAACAAAAACCATATTCAAGTAGAATAAAATCAAAAATCAGCAAAAATCATATCTAACACTATAATCAAAATTCAACAAAGACCATATTCAAATAGCATAAAATTAGAAAATTCAAAATATTACATATCTAACATAGAAAATCAGATGTAACACATGAAAAATGCACATCTAACACAAAAAAAAAAAAA